TAGTTTTAAATTCTTGTTTTAAACAACATTGTAGTGAATATCTTCTTTCATTGTTCATTATTCAAAGTCTGTTTATTGTCTATGTCAATATTTCTATTTCCATCCTCCTGCACTTTTTCCCCCCGAAGCATCAAAATATCCCTTTAGAGATGAAATGGTTTTAAATCAAATACTACATTTATTGGAAGTCATTTTTTTTTATCACAAAGGGTTATAATGATGTGAAAAGCTTTATCACAACTGGCTGTTGAAGCTGAGTCAATTAAAATGTTTGAAAAGGAATTGGACTTAAAGGACAAAGATATGGAATGGAAACGAGTAAAGAGCAAGAAATGGGATTGGAGCTTTCAGCTCCAGTGGGAGGAGCTGACATTACTTATCAATTTGCAGACATTTTCAATGGTTGATCTACAAACGCACTCAAATCTGTTTCCATTTCTACTCGTATCAAGATATAACCCTTTTTTTTTGTAGAGTTAAATGGTTTTGTGCCCACATCCAACACATTTTGTTTCTGCATGAAATACAATTTACTGTTCTGAAACCCAAGTGCTGTGGCCCACTGAATACCTTTGAATAATATGGTTTGACAGTCCTCACAACAACAACAACTTGCATTTATATAGTGCCCATCCCACAGGGTAGCGTCTCAGAGTGTTTGTACTATGCAGTATTGCCTTCTGCACGGTTCTGTGCCACAGAAATTTGCTTTTAGTTTTTTATATAGAGTTTGCCCATTGGGGGAGAGTGTGCTCCACACTACTGTACCCATGGCCTGGAGACGCTACAGGGAGGGCTCCTATAAGTAACTTCATCAAGGTCATCCATTTAAATGATGAGAAGTAGAGGTCTGAGAAGGAATCTCCGGGCAGGACCATTATCAGGAATGGAGATCTCTTTGTGCAGAGAATTCAACAAGGGGAATTTCCATTTCTGGTGAGAACAGTTATATTAAAAAAAAGTTTCCAATACACAGGAGAGCTAGATTACTGTAATATTATGATCCGCTGGCAAAAGGCTGCTGACAGTCTCTCCTAGACAGACAATGGCTGCTAATATAGATAAGTCCTGTATCTGTCCTGTGGAGTCCTATAGCTCAGTGGTTAGAGCACTTGCTTTGCAAGGGAGAGACTTGGGTTTGATTCCCGGCAGGGTGAAACCTTAGGCAAGTTTCCTTACTCCACACGCCTGATAATAATCCCTCAAAAAAACAATAATAAATTGGTTACTTCAATTCACGACTGTTTGCAGGACACTGCTGTGCGCAATTGGTTGCTGCATTTTGCCCACAAATGTACAGTCAATTCACTTTACAGTCTATCCTGTGAAGCGCTTTGAGACGTCTAGAAGATGTGAAAAGCGCTATATCAAATGCAAGGATTATTTTATTATAAGTAAAGATAATTAGTTACAACCTTGTTTCATTGCTTAGAAAGCAGAAAAATACAAATTAATGAGTTTTATGTACTTTATGTACTACTTCCAAAAAAACAAAGACCAAATAAGAAATCAAACCTCATACAACTGTGTTGAAGGGACATCAAACAAAAGTCATTTTAAACAATATTCATATTTTAGACAAACAAAAGGAAATTAACTTTGATCCTACAACTTAAACCTGACACCTATGTTTCCTGTTTTATGAATCCTTTCTTATAACTCCTCCAAAAAGATGAATTCTAAGGCTTTGGTAAATTAAGGTTAATAATACACTAATTTGAAAAATATAAAATTCTTCTTTGTTAACTCTTCACATTTAAGAATATTCTGTACATATACCACACAATGTTACATCTTCTTCCTTGATGACTGCACCATAAATATCATCCTCTTTATTAAATATGTTCTTTGAAATTTGGTACTTTTGCTTTGGAGAGCTGTATGTTCTGAGAAGGTAGCAGATCAATGAAGTATATTTAGTTTATTGATTTATTAAATGGAGTTTCCTTTGAGGGTTTATGAGTGGCTTAGAATACTGGGATGTCAGATATACAGTACAATTTCTCTACAGTTGTTAGAGAAAGCCTTTTAGTCTAAACGTAATTAGGAAGAGGTCGTAAATATGTATATGAGTTTGTGTATAACACTGAAATCGTTTTAGTCTTATAATGTGTGCATTTCTTTCACTAATGATTAATGCATCTTATGTATTTTTTTAAATAAAAAAATGAGGTATCTCGCTTGCAAGGCGAGTGCTCTAATAATAATAATAATAATCCTTGCATTTGACGTAGTGCTTTTCACGTCTTCTAGCCATCTCAAAGTGCTTCACAGAATAGACTAAAATGAATTGGCTATATATTTGTAGGTGAAACACAGCAGCCAATTTTGCACATTAGTGTCAGTCAAACAGTCGTGGATTGAAATGACCAATTTATTATAGTTTTTTTTTTCTGGAGGGATTATTATCAGGCATGCGGAGCAAGAAAACTTGCCCAAGATTTCGATCTGCCCGGGAATCGAACCCACATCTCTTGCTTGCAAGGTGAGCGCTCTAACCACTGAGCTACAAGATTCCACAATGACCTGGCGTGAATTGGTGTGTCATCTTACTTCAAAAATCACATTTATTTATGACCATAGTTGGGTGGGGGGGGGGGGGGGGGGTTGGCTTATGTGGCAATTAGGTCAAAACTTTGTTTTACTTCCTGTGTTTGACAGAATACGTTCTGTATCCTTTTTGAATTGTATGAGACGTCACGTTTAAAGCTTAACTGCTGTAAGAAAACTTGAGAAATGGTGACTTTTTGGCAGCCCAGGAGAAAAGATGAAGAAAGTGCCATCATCCTCTACCTCGGCTGGCACATTATTTCACTCCAGCGATACAAATGCTTTCTACTCGGAAAATTGTGTGGGGGAGGAGGGAGGGACAGGACAAGAGTAAACCCTTCTGGTCGAAAAAACATCACACAGGACTTTTGCTGCTGGACGCAATGGTTATCTTCTGAAATTACAATGAACATTTGCATTGCCAGAGTCAAAAACAAAAAAGGCCACAGCGTGTTGCCGTTTCTCCCCCCACAAAGGGAGAAATGAAATAATAGAAAGTCTGACGAACGTTCGAATAAGTAACCTCTGATTGGAAAATGTACTCCAAATGCAATCGAATAGTTTTGTTATTTAATGAAACGTAGGTTGGGGGAACCCTTTCCGTTGGGAGTCAATAAACTGTGAGCAGAGAGGGAGTAGAACAACAGTCGCTTCTATCATTTGCAGACGAGGGGTGTGGGGGTTAGTGACAAACATTAGTCTGGACGACGTTTTTGAAGGCGCAGGATTTAATTTATATTTTGGGGGCCGGTGGGGGGGGGGGAGGAGGTTCTACAGTAATGCCGATGTATTGCATCCTCTGTTGAAATAACAGCTATGGGCCCAAGTGCGTAGCTTTGAAGTCATTGGAAGTATCCAATTTGCACTCATCTCGATAAGATACGAGTTTCCTCTCCCCCCCCACCCCAGGCCTCCCCCTCCCCGCCCCAGGCCTCCCCCTCCCCCGCCCCACCCCCCCAGGCCTCCCCCTCCCCCGCCCCACCCCCCCAGGCCTCCCCCGATGCCCAGCGCGGGTCCGAGTCTCCGGTCTGTCCAGCGCCTTTGGCACGTCCTCCCGGCGCGAAAGGCACTTTACAAGTGTGACGTCGTTGCTTTTAAAGATACACCTTTCATTAGCGATGATAACCCCCCCCCCCCCCCTTAGCCCCCATCCCAACCCCCCCCTCCCCCTCCCCCACCGGCCGCCCTTCCCCAGACGAAGGGGTGGATTCTGATTCGAAGACATTAATTAAAGATGTCAGGAATGCCGTCGTATCCCGACGGGATGGAACACCTGTATTACATGTCCCCCCCCACCCCCACCCACCCCCCAAAAAAAAACAACCAGAAGCAATTAATTACAACCCCCCCCAAACATCCTCTTATTGCCAGAGGCGCCTTCACTCCGCTGTCTCTTTAAGCGAGTAAACGTGCGCGGAAACAAAGTAGTCCCCCCCCCCCCCCCCCCAGTTTAACTCGGAGGCTCCCCCTTCCCTTCGACTGGGCTGCGTGAAAAAAAATGGGGGTGGAGTGGGGGGTGGGGGGGACAGTTTGGGAAGGATTGCTCTTTTTTTTCCCACCCCCCCCCCAAAAAAAAGTTCATCGGCGACTGTGGATGTATGTGTGTGTGAGTGTGTGTGTGTCCATCGGCGGTGTGCGCGGCGGAGTGATCGGGTGGTGTGGGGGGGGGAGTGGGGGGGGAGGAGAGAGCTCTCAACCAAACTTGCGACGGAAATGCAACGCGGCGGGTGACGGACGCGCGGGCCGCGGCCAATGGGAGTGGCGGATCGGGGCACGGGAGCCAATCGGGAGGCGGCTGCGCCAGCGGGTTAGGATGCGCGTTTGCGGGTCCCGCTCTGAAGGGAGGGAGGGAGGGAGAGCGTGCGTGCGTGAGTACGTGCGTGAGTACGTCCGTCCGTCCGTCCGGTCCGTCCTTACGTTGGTGCGTGCGCGCGAGCGAGAGAGGCGAGGAGGAGGGAGGGGAGGTTTTGGTGGTGGGGGGGGGGGCGGGGAGGGTGAAGCGTCGACGCCGCCGTCGTCGTCGTCGCCGCCGCCGCCGCTGCTGCTCGCAGACACGGGCTGAAAGTTCAGCTCCTCGGCTCCAAGTGTGTGCCACCGCGACAAAGAGAGGGAGAGAGACAGAGGGGGAGAGAGAGAGAGAGAGAGAGCGGCTCCGGCTCCGGCCACACGGCAGCGCACACACACTCTCTCTCTCTCTCTGTGTGTGTGTGTGTGAGTGAGTGAGTGTGTGTGTGTGTGTGTGTGTGTGAGTGAGTGAGTGTGTGTGTGTGTGTGTTGCAGCATCGCGTCGCCTTCACTCTTCCAACCAGACACCCACTTTACCTCACACTCGCCCATCTGCAGCCACACGCGCTCACACACTCGCGCACACGACGACAGCCCCCACACCCCCCCCCCCCCCCACACACACCCACCCCCACACCCCCCCCCTCCCCCCCCCCACACACACACACCCCTCACACACACACACACAAAGCAGCGATGCCGACGATGATCGAGAAAGGCCCCGAGGTCTCGGGCAAGAGGAGAGGAGGCAGGAACGGGGCTAAAAGTTTTGCCGCCGGGGGGACGGCGGCCACGAACGGCAACAACTCGTGGGAAGAAGTGAGCAGCGGCTCCGATGACGAGCACGGTAACCGGCACTCAATAAGTCACCTCGGAAACTCGCCGACTTCACACAGGCAGCGCTGTTGCTTTGCCTTTATTCCCCCCATTCCCCCCCCCTCTTCTCCCCCCCCCCTCCTCTTCCTCTTCTCCCTCCCCCCCTCTTCCTCTTCTTCCCCCTCCTCCTCTTCCTCTTCTTCCCCCCCTCCTCCTCTTCCTCTTCTTCCCCCCTCCTCCTCTTCCCCCCCTCCTCTTCTTCTTCCCCCCTCTTCCTCTTCTTCTCCCCCTCTTCCTCTTCTCCCCCCCCTCCTCTTCCCCCCCTCCTCCTCTTCCCCCCTCTTCTTCCCCCTCCTCCTCTTCCCCCCCTCTTCCTCTTCTCCCCCTCTTCCTCTTCTTCCCCCCTCCCTCTTCTTCCTCTTCTCCCCCTCCTCTTCTTCCCCCTCCTCCTCCTTCTCTTCTCCCCCTCCTCTTCTTCCTCTCCTCCTCCTCTTCCCCCCTCTTCCCCCCTCTTCCTCTTCTTCCCCTCTTCCTCTTCTTCCCCCCTCCTCCCTCCTCTTCTTCCCCCTCCTCCTCCTCTTCTCCCTCCCCTCCTCCTCTTCTTCCCCCACCTCCTCTTCCTCTTCTTCCCCCCTCCTCCTCCTCTTCTCCCCCTCTCCTCCCTCCTCTTCTTCCCCCCCTCCTCCCCTGTGTGTGAGTGTTTCGTCTAAATGTTTATATATTATATATATTATATATATATGTGTGTGTGTGTGCAATTTATATGTCTCTATTATTCCAGTGCAGTTTTAAATTTTTTTATTTTTAAGTATTTTTTCGGTTTTTTTTAATTTCATTTTGTATTGGGTTTTTTTTTTGGGGGGGGGAACAACTACTTGTTACACGTGTGTGTGTGTGTGTGTGTGTGTCTGTATGTATACCATATAATATATAATATCACATATAGTGTCTATCTATACATTACAGGTGGTGGAATGCGAGTGGGCTCCCAATTTCAGGCGGTGGTTCCTGAATATGATCCTGGTGAGTGTGTGTTTTATTCTTATTTATTTTCATATACATCTACATAGATATTTTTTTTTTAAAAAAAATTAAAACGTATAGGTAACGCAATGTACGGTATTATTATTATTCTCTCTCTCTCTCTCTCTTCCTCTCCCTCTTCGACTCTGTGCAGATAATAAGCCTCAAAACTCGTTTTTTTTAAATCATGATCCCCATCATCTTCTCTTCCTCTCACTTGCATCACCACCTTCTCTCTCTCTCTCTCTCTTTGTATGGCTTTTTTTTTGTGTGTGTGTGTGGTGGGGGGTGGGGGGAGAGGAGAGAGTTTAAAAACCTATGGGGGGGGGGGGAAGGTGCTTGAACATTAGAGGTCGAGAGAGAGAGAGAGAGGGAGGGATGAGGGAGGGAGGGAGGGAGTGTGTGTGGAGGAGATGCTGTTGGTCTTTATTGTAGGTCTCCATGTGAGCCAGACTTGATGTAGCAGATTTGAGAAAAGTGCAGGAACATTCATTATAATAAAACCAGGGCAGATGAATAACTTTTTTTTCTTTTCCGTCTCTCGTCTCTTTCTCTCTCTTTTTTTTCTTTCTCTCTCTCCCTCTCCCTCTCTCTCTCTCTCTCTATCCTTTCTTTTGACCCTACTGTTCACCATCAGAACAGCAGCAGCGTGTGCTGCAGGCGTGCTCTGACTTTAAAAAAAAACCCCATCATCATTTCCTACTTACCCTTACTTACCCCCCCCCCCCCCCACCCTAAGCTACAAGGCTGCCCCCGAAATAAATAGCACGGTGTGGTGCGGTGTGCTTCCCCCCCCCCCCCCTCCCCAAAAAAAAAGAAAGAAAAAAAAGTTTTGTCCCTGTTCAATTCTTTTTTAAAAAGTAGTTTTTTTAAATTTAATCCACGTATATATTTTTTTATTTAAAAAATGGAGAAAAAAACGTTGCTTTTTCTGCCTGTCTCTCTCTCTCTCTCTGTCTCTCCACTGCTGGGTTTAAATGCCTCGAGTTGATGATTTTATGTTGGACAGAGAGACAGAGACAGAGAGAGAGAAAGATAGATAGATAGATAGAAAGAGAGAAAGAGCTACTTCCCCCTTCGCTTCAGGTGCGGTTAGTTTCACATTCGTAATGAATGAGAAGATACTGTGGGGGCAACGGAATAAAAGGCGTCTGTCTCTGAGAGCAAATGGCTTTATTTCAGCTCCTTCTGTCCTCTGCCCTCTCCAAATTCCTTCAGGTTTTACAAAGCCCTAGATTTGGTCGAGATCGATCGTGTGTTGTGTGTGTGTGTGTGTGTGTTTTTTTTCCCATTTAAAATTGTAAGACTTGAAAGTCTACGTCCAAGTCTGCATTATTTAGCTCTGAGCGCATGTGCGAGAGAAAGAGAGAGGGAGAGATTGAGAGAAAAGAGAGAAAGGAGGGGGGGCGTGTGTGTGGGCCACAGAGCCAAAGGGGGAGCATCCAAAGCAATGCTTTTAAGACTGTACTGTAAGCCACTGCATGATCAGAAGTTGAACACCTGCATGTTTCTGCCAATAGCTTCAGTCTTAAAGTGTTTTAAGTACTTGAAGTAACCAGTGTATCTCAGTAGTGCGCTGTAAGAAATCCACCTACTTTTTCTTTATGATCTTGGAAGACAAAATTATGAAGTGGACAATGCACCGCTTTAACTCTTAGAGTATTCTATCTTTCAATTGTTATTGTATTGGTATTTTTCCACTCCCACCTCCCGCCTGTGGCTGTACACTAGTATTTTATTTTAGATCATTTTCACATCTAAAAGGGCATTTTATTTTTTTCATGCAGGGTGACCAATAAGTCATGATACCATTACAATATCTAATAAGTCTTAAAGAAATGATTTTTTTTAGATAATTGGTATCAAGACTTTTTGGTCACCCTGTTTGTGTATATATATATATATAGAACAACAAAACATGCTCCCTCCCATTGTGCAAAGATTTTGTTGCCTGGTCTGGAAACTTATGCGGGAGAAATCTGCTTCAAAAGCAGCACAAGGGTAACTTCACTGCGTTGAGTTTTTGTTTACAATAATGTAAATAAGATGTGAGCAATTTATGACCTCCTTGGGCGATTCTGAAAATGACTAATTTTAACGTTAGACTTTTCCCTTGGATTGGTTCCCCAGAGCTCAGATGGTGTTACCCTGTGGGGAATGTAGGGTGTTTCAGTAAGAATTTAAGGTGTTTTAGCAATTAGTGTGATGTAGTCTACTTAATTGATAAGGTACACACACTGGGGGAGGGGATATGTGGGCCACAGAGACAAGGGGGAGCATCCAAAGCAATACTGGAGGAAGTGCATTAAAGGTAAATTACAACAGTAAATAAAAGTTTTCTTTTTTAATTATTTTGGATGGGTTTGATAACTACATGGGAAAGTCCAATGCAAAGAATGTACTGTAACACATTATTCTGGTGTAAAAGAGCTGGATGGGGGGAAGAAAAAATTATAATTATAAAGTGAAATTCAGATTTTTTTCGGACTCCCAATTTTTAAAAAAGCGTTTATTTACCTCATGTTAACTTAACTTTGCATTAACTTTGTAAAAATGTTTATCTCTTTCATTATCAGCCTTATGATGATTGTGTTTTGGTCTTGTAATTCAAGCCAACGCTTGAGGATTCTATGTTTAAGTGGGTAAATGATCCAATGAAAGAGTTATTTTGCATTAAGCGGTCTTTGTAGAATATTATCTTGAATTGGGATTAACTGTTTAAATAAAGAGTCCTTTTATATGAAAAAGGGGTTTCACTGTATCTGCACTAGAAAATGGAATACATTTGGATTTTTCTTGATTTAATTCACGTAAGTACTTGTACGACAAAGTGTTTTAAGTGTTTTGGTTGGTGGAGATTACAGCTTTTGAAGAAATGGCAACATTTTTTTTCTACTGGAGTCAAAGGCTAAGATTGGAAAAAAATTCTAGATGTTTTAAGGAGCTGGTAGTATTACTTAAAAGAAGAAATGAAACTGCCGAGGGAAGATTTAAGATGTGGGAGAAATGCTAAATGTGTATTCTTTTTGTTTTACAAATGGCTGTGGTAGCAATGCTGTGTTCTAAATCCTGTAACCAAAAGCACAACTAAAAAAAATCTAGATGTGCTTGCGTTGTAGAGATTTGAATTGCTTTTACTGTAACCTTCCAAACACAAGAGTGAATAATGTTGAACAAAGGAAAGCAACAGAAGTTTTGATACGAAAGTTGAACGGTGGGATGTTTTTGTTCGTATGGGGGAAAAAAATGAATTCTGTAAGAATATGTAATTTGGGAATTGCTTTTTCAAATAGAACAGATTAGCGTGCATGGGTTTAGGGAAGATAAATCTGTTTTTAAAAAAAAACAACCCTTGGTATAATAATGTCATTGAAGAGTCCCTGGATCTTGTTTCGGTTTGGTATAACAGTTCTTACCTTGTAAAGATTTTGCCTATCACATGTCTGAAGTGTCAAATCTATCTCTGCCTTGAGCTTCTGAAAACTCACAATTGGAGCTGCTAAATGTAACTTTATTGGAAAAGAACACATCAGCTGCTGTTCTGTTGACCCTGCAGCAGTCATTTCTCCTGGTCCCTTGCCAAAGCTGTGCACTGAAACCTCTTTGCACTCCTTTCCACCAAGCTACCACGCTGATGGTTTTCTTCCGAAGAGAAAGTTGACCTCATTGGCTCGCCTTTCTCCTCTCGCTGTAATCTTGCTGACCTTGGTAACGATCCTAATCTCCGTCGCCTCATTCTGTTCTACCGTGATGGCAAACCTCCTCGCTGTGCCTGTGGGATACTCCATTCCCTCAACCCACACAAGGCCACGTTATTCTTCATGTTGTTCCCTCCATTGTCTTTCAAGGGAGGTTTATAATGTTCACAAGGATGCCAGGTATTTTGCCAGGATTCTCAATTTAAACAAAAATATGGACAAGGCAGCTGGTGGAAATCCTAGAAGATGTGGCAGAGCTTCTTAGAGGAGGCGTGTTTAAAGTTGGACAGAAAACAGAATTGTATTTGATAATAGCCATGTCAGGAGGACATCTCGGAGCTTGTCACAGGATGGTTGTAAAATGTAGTGACTACTTTTGTTTAGGCGAACATGGCAGCTGATTGACACATAGCAATGTCCCATAAGTAGCCATGTAATGAATGGATTTATTTTTATAATCTGGGGAGTGGGTTGAGGGGTAAACATGTTTGTCAAAGAGGTTTTTTGAAGCCATGATCTGCAAAGGTTGAATATTTCATACATTGACTGAATGACACTGAATATTGAATAGTTTTGAGTTCTGAGGACCAAGTTGTTGCTGAAAGAGAGAACTGATGCTCGTATTAAAAAAAAAGTGGAATATGAGAAGCACCAGGGAGCAGTGATTGACAGGTGGTTTAACCAATTGAGGCAATACAATGCAGTGAATAAGAGAAGTAGAATTTTAGGTTGTATGTCAAGGAGATTTTAAATAAAGTTTAGTGAACATTTTATAGGCAGTAAATGAAATTGCCTGCAATTTATTTAGGGATTTGAGGGCGAATCTGGCTGCTATGTAGAGAAGAGTAATTGATTACAGCTCCGAGTACTGCAGATGGATTGAGAAATCCTTTTGGTTGTTTTGTTTCAAGGAAGAAGAAAAAATAATGTGCCATTAGCACACTTTTTAATCAAAAAAAATTCCATTGGGCTTTGGTAGACTAGAAAGTGAGAGAGGTGAAACCAGCACAAATGTAATGAGTCAAATGGCCTCATTTTGCACTGCAAGTTCCCAGTTCATATTGATTCCAAGTGTTGGATAAAAGGAAAAGTTCAGGAATTGGAGTTTTAAGAGGGAATCCACATTGGAATTCAAGAGCCAATATATATATTTATATGAAACAATGGCTGAGTTCTGCGGATTACAGGGGAATGAGCTAGGTAGGTTAGATGATTTTTTAAAACAATTATAGTCAAATGTGTAAGAAAGATTGACTAAGAATTGCTCAGTCGCTTTAAGTGACACTTCCTGTTTTTTAAATA